AGCTAAGATCTGTCCCAGGTCTCCATTTGTCTGAGGCAAGGGGCAGCTGGGTGGCACTGCAGTGGATAGAGCACTGGACCTGGAGTTAGGAAAACCTGAGTTCAAATCTAGCCTCAGACACTTACTGGCTGTGTGACCCTGGGCAAGTCGTTTAACCCTGTTTGCCTCTCTTTCCTCATGTGTAAAATGAGCTGGAGAAAGAAATGGCAAGGGGCAGCTAGGTGGCACAGTGGATAGAGCCCTGGCCCTGAAATCAGGAGGACCTGAGTTCAAATCCAGCCTTAGACCAAACACTTGACATGCACTAGCTGTGTGACCTTGGGCAAGTCACTTAACCCCAATTGCCTCACTTAAAAAAAAAAACCAAAGAACAAACAAACAAAAAAAAAAACAAAAAAAAAGAGAAAGAAATGGCAAACCATTCCAGTATCTGCCAAGAAAATCCTAAATGGGGTCATGAAGAATCAGGTATGACTGAAATGACTGAACAACAGACCATGTACCAAGTCGTAGAGAGATCATTCTCTGCTTTGGGGAGGCCAGATGCACACTTCGTAGGTCCTTGAAGGACTGGAGCAGTAAATGGAAAGCTAAACTGTGTGGTAGGATGGGCCCAGATAGCTATGTGTAAGCCTTACCTATGTATGTGTATGAGGATGTGGGTGAGAGCCTGGGAGCCATGCTGGATTTTCAACTTTCCACCTCCACCCTTACTCCCACCACTAGGATGTTTCCAAGCTCTCTTTCTACATAACAGCATTTGCCAAAGGTTTGGATGCCCTGGGGCTGAATCCTGGAAGCAAAAGAGGAACTGGGCCCTTGGAAAGCCATGATTCCCTCCGATAAATTGTAAGCTAGTACAAGTCAAGTGTATTCTGCTGGGGAGAGAGAGAATGATCAGTAGTGGCCCTTTCCATGTGTCGAGAGGTAGAGTCTCAGGGAATAAGGAGGGGTTGGTTCCATTGTACTCCACCATGGCCAGATCTCATGTAGAATATCGTGTTTAGTTCATATGACACAGATTCAAGGCTCTTCCCCACCCTGGCTTTGCAGCTTAGCAATGTCTTTCTTAAACTCTGAGGCCCAGAACTGAACCCAGTCCTCTAGGTATGGTTTTCAGGACTGGGTGAGGTTATTATCACGTCTGCAAGTAACTGGGACATCAGCTATGTGCCTTAAGGGCCAGGAATGGGGGAGGACAACCTCAGCTTTTGATCTGTATTGTATAGTTGCCTGTGTACATGTTGTGCTGACTGGAAGCTCCTTGTAGGCAGGAACAGTTTTGGTTTGTGTCTCTAGTGCTCCTCATAGTTCCTCACACATGGTAGGTGCTGATGTTTATGGAATGGATTCCACCAGTCACAGGGGTCTGTTCAGGGCTCCTTATTTCAGTCCACCTAGAGTATTTTTGGAACTCCAGTGACTTCACAAGTGCTGATTTCCTAGTTGGGAATTTTTTTTCCAGGAGCTTGGAGAGCAACTCTGAGTTTCCAACCTGCGAAGAATGTGGAGGTTGGTGGGAGTCGTAGGGATGGCCTGACCGGCTGTTTGCCCTTGATGTATGTAGGCATCCTGAAGTGTTATTTTCCTTCATGGAGGCTTGGTGGAAGAAAAGCCAGTGGTGATATTGTCTGTGGCCCAGAGCTGGATGGGAGCTGAGGTAATCGCCAACATCCCTCTGATAGCAAGAGGAATGGGTGACCAGCACAGAGCACTCAGCAGGCTTGCAGGCAGTCTGGGTGCTCTGGAATCATTGTAGCCAGAGTGGGCTGAAAGGCTTTAAGCTACTCTACTGTAAGGCAGAGACCCTGACTCAATTAGCTCCACATCCCTACCAGCAGGGAACCAGAAGGGGAATTTAATAAATGGCTGTTGAATGAATAATGGAAGATCATTCCTTTTTAAGAGCTATATTGGCGCAGAACTTGGTGAGCCCTCAAATGGTCAGACCCCTTTGTAATCTGTCCCTGAACATGAGACCAAGTCTTCAAGCAAAGGCTAGATAACTGCTTAATGGAGAAGTGATTCAACCAGTCAATTACCAACCATTTGGAAGTGGCTAACTGTGGGCCAGGCATTGGATTAGAAATTTAAGCTACCAAGACAGAGAGGGAGTTTGCCCTCAAGGAGTTTTACATCATATCAGAAGTACCAATATATGCAAAGCCGAGGGACAGTGATTGGGGGCAGGTACTAACAGCTAGAGGATCAGGAAAACCTATGGAATTCTAGAGGCAATGGGGAGCCAACCTGTGCCTTAGGAATATGCATGGAATGGAGAGGAGAGAAGTCATAGGCAGAGAGACCAATGAGGAGGTTATTCCAGTAGTGTAGGCAAGAGGTGGGGAGGCACTGAATTGGGGTGGTCTGGGTGCAAGCAGAGACAAGGTTCTGGATAGAAGAGCTGGAATCACCAAGATTTGACAATCGATTGAATGTGTTGGGTGAGAGAGAGTGAGGAGCCAAGGATAACTCCAAGGTTATGAACCTAGTTAACTGAGGGAAAGGTGGCACCCTTGATTGAGAAAAGGGAGCTAAGAGGAAGGGTGCATTTAGGGCAAGAGATGATGGTCTCTGTTTTGGACATTTTGAGTTTGCATACAGAGGGAACTGTCCAGCAGGCAGTTCGAGAAAGAGCGCTGGAACTTAGGACAAAGCAGAAGGCTGGACTCAGAGACTGGGGAGTTTTGTGCATACGAATGATTGTTGACTCCATTGGAAGCCAGTGATCTCACTCAGAGAGAGAGTGGAGAGATCCTGTTTCAGGTATGGATTAGACCAGCTGGCCTCTGAGGGCTCTTCAAACTCTCGGAGATTCTGTGGGATGCTTTGTTTTCACACCCTAGTCATTTCTAAATATGCTGCACCCCCTGCCCTGAATCCTCCCCAGCAACAAAGAAAGGCACTTAGGCAAAAAGAACCAGTGAAGTAAGTGAGTCTGAGAATGTGGGAAGTCTGAGCTAAGAGGAGGAAGGGACGTTTCATTATCTGTTCTCGAGACTGAGATTGCTTATTACTGTCACTCAGACACTGGCTGGAGTAAATATGCAGTTTTCTCGTTCTGCTTTATTCACTTGGCATTGCTTCATACAAATCTCCTATTCGATGACAGTAGTCTTCCACGGCATTTGTTCAGCCATTCTCCAATTGATAGACACACACACGGTTTCCAAGTTTTTGCTACCATAAAAAGTGATTCTGTGAATATTTTAGTACATATTGGATTTTTCTATCTGTCTTTGACCTCTTTGGGGTATATGCCTAATGGTGGAATTGAAAGGTCCAAGTTTAGTCACCTTTCTCAGATCATTCTAATTTGTGTTCCAGAACAGTTGGCTGAATCTGTGGCTCTATAAACATTATATTGGTGAGCCTTTCTTTCCACAACCCTTCCAACATTGACTCTGGTTTTGGGCTTTGCTAATTTTCTGGCTGGGAGGTGAAAGGTCTGAGTTATTTTCCTTTATGGATCTCTTCTTATTAGTGATTTGAAGCATTCATGTGAGACTCTTGATAGTTTCCATTCTTTTTTTTTTGAAAACTGTTTGTTTATGTCCTTTGACAATTTATCTATTGGGAAATTTGTCTCCTTCCCCTGGCAAGACTGTCCACTTCCACCTCAGGTCACCTTATACTTTGCATAACTTCTCTAAACAGCTTCTGTGGTCTGTCATAGACCAGGCCCAGGTATGGGGTGGGGTGGTTCAGGAAGCACAAGGGTATGACAAGGCGGGATGAGAGAAAGTCTGATGCTAGGCAGGAAGTCAGGTATGGGGTAGAAGAGACAAGATGGGGACCTAATTACTAGAACTGGGGCTTCAGGCAGGGTCACATTGTCAAAGTAAGAGTTCCCTGGCTGTACTCAAAGATCCCCAAATTGCCCTCTTGCTTGAGTCACCTCTCCAAGGATTCCCATTCCCTGCCACTCTGCACTGAGACATGCCAGAGACTCACCAATACTCTCTCAATTCAAGGTGAGTCCTCAGACAGTCCTCCCACATTCTCCAAAGAGGGGATATTGTAGAGTATTGCACTCTACAGCCCATAACTGGAGTAGAAAAAGGGCTAAATTTGAAGTCCAAGAACATGGGTTCAGATCCTAACTCTGATACTTCCTAGCTGTGTGACCATGGACAAGTCACTTAGCCTCTCTGAGATTCAGTTTTCTCCTCTATCGAAAGAAGTAGGAAAAGAGGGCAAGACTAGATGATCCCTAAGGCCTTTCTTTTCTTCTTCTACCTCTTTTTTTTAATTTTTAGGCAATTGGGGCTAAGTGACTTGCCCAGGGTCACACAGCTAGTAAGTGTCAAGGTCTGAGGTCAGATTTGAACTCAGGTCCTCCTGACTTCAGGGCCCATGCTGTATCTACTGTGCCACCTAGCTGCCCCACCTTAAGGTCTTTTCCATGCCTAAATCCTCTCATCCTGACATCTAAGCTCACATACCTGGGGAAATTGGCAATAGTCTGAAATTCTTTCTTCAAAGAAAAAGAGGAAATATATGACAGTTAATGACAGCACCAAGCTCTGTGCTTTACACGTAGTAGTAGTAATAATAATAGCTAGCATTTATAGAGAGCTTTAAGGTTTGCAAAGCCCATCACAAATATCGCATCTGATCCTCACCACAATCCTGTGAGGTAACTACTATTACTACCACAGTGCCAGGCACAGAGTGGGTGTGTAACCAAAGCTGGGGGAATTGTCTCCTCCTCCCCCCTTCCATCCCCTCAGGAGTTTTAGAGAAACAAGGCAGTAAAGCAGTCCTGGGAACTGTAATTTCCTCTGGGTGTCTGATGTACCAGTCCCAGCAGTCTCTGGAGCGAAGTCCCGACATGGGCCGAGAAAGATTTTTCAATAAGGGTTGGAAGGAAAAGGCTGCAGAGCCTGCGGGCATCTCTTAGTTAAGCAGACGCCTTCTGTATTCCCGGAGTGTTCCAACCGGTTACCTATTGACTTGACTGCAATTGTTTTGTTTTGTTTTCCTCTTTTCACTTACAGGCTTGGAGCTGGGAACAAAAGAATCGGATGGAAGGATGAACAGGTGTAAACAAATAACTAGCAGAGTGTCTTTGTGGTCCGGCCGTTAAGAAGCCCCAGCTGGATGGCCCAGGTAGGTATGCATAACCAGGATGAAGCAGCCCTAAGAATAATACTGATGACAGTGGCAGCGAGGCCGATGACATTGCAATGCTTCTTTGTGCTGGCTGGGGTGAAGCAGAGTGTGGAAGGAGAAGTGAGTTTTAATCCCACCTCCAACCCAGAGGAGCTGTGGGAGTCCAGGCAGCCACTTCCCTTTTGTATGCCTTAGCCTTGGGCAGACTTCAGAAGGTCTGCCCTCAGGAGGTCCCCCAGGCCACAAATAATGATCCCAGACTCATTTGCCAGGATCTGTCTTTACCCTCTTCAGCCCAGCAAGGAAGAAACCGAAATTAGCTACTAAGTGGCCGATATGGGACTGTGGAGGCCAGGCCTGCTGGTTCCTAGGCCACTGTTTTTGCCATGATTCTGGGCCCCTCCAGATCCTTTCTAGGGACTGTAAGGAAGAATAGCCTCCCACTTCAGTTCAGAAAACACGATCCACCCACTGCGCTGTAACTAGAGTAAGGCGCTTGGGAGTTTGTTCCAGGGTCCTAAACGTAGAGGTGAGTGACAGCAGCCGACAGATGGAAACAGCGACGAAAGAGTTAAAATAAGAAGCGACCCTTTACTAGGCTAGCCTTCCAACTCAGAGCCTCTGCCTGTGTGGGCTTGCCCCAGATGCAGAAATGTCTAGTTATGCCTCTGCCTTTTAGGAGCTAGAGCCTGTGCCCCGTGAAATAATTGGGCCACCCCTTATCCATGATGAATTGTTGGGTCCAATGCAAACAGCAGAGTTAGAGAGAAACTAGAATAGCTTTATTCTGAGGTTCAACAAATAGCAATCACCGAGAGTATGCACATGCACAGGTAGTCTGCTGTTACTGGATAGGGGAGATGGACTTTTATTTGTCGAGTTGTTTCACTTGTGTCCAACTCTTGTGACCCCATTTGGGGTTTCCTTGGCAAAGACAATGGAGCGGTTTGCCATTTCCTTCTCCAGCTCATTTTACAGATGAGGGAATGGAGACAAACAGGGTGAAGTGACTTGCCCAGGGTCACACAGCTGGGTCGGAGGCTGAATTTCAACTCAAGTCTTCCTGACTGCAGGCCTGGCACTTTACACACTAAGGTGCCACCTAGCTGCCCTGGGCTTTTATACACAGAGGTAAAGGCTTTCCAGGTGGCTCCAGGCCAATTTTGGCTGTCGAAGCATTGGTGGGGCCATAAAAGGGGGCAGGATCCTGAGGTAGATAAGGACTGGGCACAAGATGGAAGAACTTTGGTTACTTTGCCATCTACAATTATATAGGATTTCTTGAGTTCGTCAGCAAGGCAGCCCCACCTGCGTAGGCAGAGGCTCCCGGAAGGAACAGAAGGAGGAAGCTTACATAGGTTTCAATTCAGGCAGGAGGTGAATTGGCCCTGGGCCACCTGGGAATTGGACAGGGCCTGTTGCTGGGGCCAGTAACAGGAGAGGCTTTTCCTCAGGTAACCCTGCCCTCATAGATGGGACCATCCTTGCTGCTTCAGCAGAGACAAAGGCCATATATAGGGTGGGGGGTTTCAGTACAAACAGGGTCAGAGACAAGATAGGGGAATGACAGACAAAATGAGGTTGCTTTAGTTTTCTTGGCTACCCACAGAATCTTTCCTCTTTCAAAAGCTATTATTGATAGTATGTTTAGCTTGACCTGAGCCCGTGATGTGGGACAGGACAGGAAGCTAGATTCCCCAAATTTCAGAGATGGTTTGGTCCAACCCACACCTGCACAAGAATTCCCTCTAAGCTACTGCCAACAAATAGTCACCCAGCCTATGTTTAAAAGCCCCAGTGAGCGAGAGAGAGCCCACTCTCCATTGGGACCGCTCTCCTGTCCCCCAGATTCCTAGGTCTGCCCTCTTGGGCCAAGCAGAATGAGTCTCCTTACCCTGAGGTTCATTATCCCATCAGCAGATTTTTGCCTTATGGTGAGACCCCCCCCCTTTCCTGTGGGTGTGAGGGGTATGTGGGAGGGGGCACATGTGCTTGTAGGTGTGTGTGCATATGAACTCACAGAATTAGGATTGTCATTCCTTCGATGGGGCTTACCATCCACCTGTCAACAGTTCTTTAAAGTGGAAATGATGAATTAAAATGGAGGGGAGTGCTGCAGGCCTGCCTTGGGAGGCCAAGGCCCTGAGGAGTTTGCATCTAGGTCATGTGACCTTGGGCTTGGTGGCCTTTCAAATCCTTCCCAGTCTGATCTTAGCCCATCTCTCCAGGCTGGTTTATTGGACATCTTCATCGCTCACCCCCTCCTTCCACACCGATCAGCACTTCCTCTACCAAAACTGCTTGGTAATTGTGTCCATTTTGTGTGTGGTACAGTGGGTGGAGAGATGGCCTGGAAGCTAGGAAGACCTGCCTCTGATACCTCCTGACCATGTAACCCTGGGCAGATGACTTCAGCTCACCAATGAAATCACAGCTCTGGGCCCCTATATGTGGTATTTATTTATCTGGGTAACAATTATTTGTCCCCCTAGTATGATGTGAGCTCCTTCATGGAGTGGACTGTTTCCTTTTGGTCTTTTGTATCCCTAGAGCTCAGGAAAAAAAATGCTTGGTACATAGAAGGTACTTAATTAATGCTCTTTGCTTGATCGACTGCCCCTCTGTGGGCCTCCAACACTTCCTGGAGAAGATGGGGGGATTAGCATGGTAGGTCTTCCCCATTTCTGCCACCTCTAACTTTGATAGTTTCTCTAATGGTGTTCTTGTCCTGCGGGCCTGTGGCCTCCTGGGTGTTTGGGGAGTCTGCCTGCCTGGGCTTCCTGAAGCCCACACAAAAGAACAGCCTCAGACAGCAGAGGCTACCAAGAACCAGTTGCTATCAGAAAGTTGGCCGTTTGCTCCAACTTTGGCAGTGTTGCAAGCAGCCAGGATGGAGGCTGGGAAGCTTCCTTGCACACATTCAGCTCAGCCCCTTCCTTTTGCAGCTCCCAGGCCCAGGTGAAAGGGAAATGATTTTTCCAAGGTCAAAGAGGCAGTCAGGGACAGAGATGAGATTCGAACCCAGCTCTTCTGACTCACTCTAAGGCTTACACACAGGATGTCCTAGCTTTGTCTGGTCTAAACTTCTCATCTCACAGAAAAGGAAACTGAGACCAGGGAGGGTAAAGGATTTGCCTAAGTTTGGTCACACAGACTCAGGATTGGAATCCAAGTCCTTGCCTCCCAGTAAAGAGTTCTTTTCCCCCTGGGCACTGCCTCCCCCAAAGCTCACTGCTCCATGATATGTGAAATCCTCATGAGTGAACCTATGCAGGCTCCTGAAATAGGCCAGAGCTTAGGACCGAGTGCCCTTGGAGGCAGGAGAGCTGGGTTCAAGGGCTGGCTCGGTGACTTGTATCCTCAACAACCGATATTGCTGCAGTGCCCGAGAGTTTACACACCACCTTCCCCCTCATTTGAGGCCCAGAACAACCCTGTCAGGCAAGTATTGTGGGCACCCTTCTCTCCCTGTTAAAGAGAAGAACGTGGAGGAGGCTCCGAGAGTCACACAGCTAGTTATTGGCAGAGCGGGGATTTGAACCCAGGTCTTTCTGACTCTAGGTCCATGTTTTTTATGGGTAATGGGGCAAATAACTTCCCTGCCTCCTCACTGGGGTGGCGTGAGGGTCACCTGAGACAGGCATTTCCAATGTGCAAAAATAGGAATATTGTTATGACTACAGCTTGCTGTTTTAATATTTGGCAGGGTTTGCACAGCTTCTGTTTCTATTTAATCTCTTCTGTCTTGAAAAAAAAAGTCATTTCTCCTCTGCTGTCTGTGAATTCAGCTTTAAATAATGCTGTTTACAAATTTGCAGAGAAGGAAGCCTCCAGCAGCGAGATGCTTTACTGTTTTTGCAAATGCATTTGCTAGCTTGTGGGCCAGCTTAACTGGATGGGATTGTTTGGAGGGAGAGATGGAGCCAGCAGCAAATTCTGTTCCACCAGGTCCTTTCCACAGTGGGTTGGGTAGCCAAAGGGAAATAGGAACCTTGCCAACCTGGCCTCGTGTGCGGGATTCTAGGCACTGAGCCTTGAGAGCACCTCCATCCGCTGACTTCCTGTGTGACCTTGGCCAGGTGGGCTTCCATCTCTGGTGCTCGATCTCCTTCTCTGTCACAGAGGGCAGCTGCAGCTGCTGGCCTGCAAGGGCTTCTAGCTGGGTGACCTGAAGCTAGTCACTTTCTATCTCTGAGGCTTTGTTCCCTCCCCTCTAAAATGACCAGGACCCTTCTGATTTGCTCTTTCTTCCTTTCCCAAATTCCATTATTCTGTGAGTGGCCTGAGGAAAGGCAGGGGGGAAGGCAGCTGAGCTGCTGTACTCCCTTCCCCATCATTATCTGCTGAAGTCTGTTTTTTCACCTTCCTTATAATTTCTGCATCTCCTCATTATGCACTAATGAGGACCACATGCAGATCACTTTCTCGCCACATGTATGCTGCTCAAAGTTTTGCTATCTCCCCAATGTTAAATAGATGCAAATGGCCCCATCAGTAAATGGCCAATGGTGGGCACTAGACCACTGCCTTGACTCAGTGAGCTCACACTGGCATTTATGACACCATGACCAGAAGGTAGAAGGACAGTTGAGGACAGGGAAAGACAGTCCAAGGATCCCTAGGCCTTACGGGTGGAGGCCCATCCTCGGCCCTGGATTGCCTGACCAAAGTCCTTTTCCTCCACACTGGGGCCCTTGCAGTCCATGCTCGTTGTCCACTTGGACCAAGCCAGGCTTCGTTCCTACCCAGAGCATATGAGAATAAGAATAATACATATATGTATATATGGAAGTAGAAAATTAGAATTATAGATTACATATGAATTAAATATGAATTATTGAATATTATATGTATATAACTTTAAGATTTGCAGTGAGATTTACATATCATTTCATTTAATCCTCACAATAACCCTGTGAGGTAGGTGCTATTATTTTACCCATTTTATAGATAAGGAAACTGAGTGTGAGAGAGGTTAAATGGCTTGCCCAGTGCCA